AAATTTTTGAAAAATGGGCGTAGCCACGCCCACTTATAGTTATATGTGTATATCTCGGCAACCGCGGCACCGATTTCTTCCAAACTTCGCACAGTTGTTCGCCTTGGTACAGCATACCAAGTGGCTGAAAATTTTTAAAATCCGACAATAACCACGCCCACATTCCATATAAGGGTAATTTAGAGAAATACGAAATCTTCGATAAATCAGTAAATATTAAAGCTAACTTATTCAAAATTGATGCTCGCAACAATTCTTTACCAAGAAATATGTTCATGGTTAAATTTTGGAAAATGGGCGTGGCACCGCCCACTTATGACCACATATATGTATATCGGTAACCGTTCTATCAATTTGTACCAAACTCGGTATTTTTATTGTTCTTGCCACATAAAAGCAAAACGTTGAAAATTATTGAAATCGGACTAAAATTACGGCCGATTTTTATATAACGGTAAATTTCAGAAATGCTTGAAACTGCAATATTTCGAAATTTAAAGACGCTAATTTACTCAAAATTGATACACCCCGGCTTTCCATGTAGGCGTAGCTTTCGGAAGGGGGAAAAACATGTATTTAATACTTGCGCCGGGTATTTAATGTTCGGCTCTGCCCGAACTTAGACTTTCTTACTTGTTTATAATTGTTTTAGACCATATAAAGTTTTTAGTAGTAAGTAGTATCGGATAAGAAAGATCAGTTACGCCTCATCTGTACACAAGGATAAGTATATTGGGCGTTACTTGAGGTATTTCGCTTGCCCTGAACGAATTCGCCAGAACGACACCAATTACTTTGTAGCCTTTTGGCGTTATGTTAAAAAAAAATTCATACCTCGGTCCAATGGATGAGATCTAGCCCTAAGATATAACCATGGTCGCTAGGGACTCAACATAAGCATGCCAATAAAGTTACCTAATCAGAGAAGTATCTTTCAGGCTATGAGGAAAGCCGCGGAGGTAGCAAAGCAAGATATGCAAGTGTTCGCCCAGCGGTTGAAATTCATCCTTTTAAATTAAGGGGAGTTGAGGTGGGCTGAGCTGAGCCGAGTTAAGTTTAGTTGAGTATTGAAGTAAATTGATGTGAAGTGCATTGAACAACATGACCGAATATAACATAGCATAACATAACATAAGACAACACAACACAACAAAACACAACACAGTACAACTCAACACAACACATTATAACATAAAATTATATAAAATAACATAATACAACACAAGACGACAAAACATAACATAAGATAACATAACATAACATAACATACCATAACATAACATACCTTAACATAGCATCACATAACATAACACAACATAACATAACACAACACAATTCAACAACACCAAAACACATAACATAACATAAAATAACGCAACACAAAACAATAAAACAACACCACAAAACACAACACGAAACAAAGCAACACAATATAATACAAGACAACACAATACAACATAACATTTTGTTCTTCAATTTTATCGTTTTCTTTTTCCCTGTTTTGTTTCAACCTTTACCTCTTATCTCTCTTTGTCTCTGCCGTTTTTCTATCCTTTCATTTTTATAATTATCACTTCCTTGACGTTAATTCGGAACTTTATCTGTATTCGTTTCTATATCCAAATATTCACCCACACCTTTGCTATTAT